AAAATAACGTTTTGGTCCGCTAATTATTCAGCTTGTGTGATATATACTAAAACAATTATTCACCTCAGTGCCGGTGAAAGTGATGGATATTTACCTCCACTTTGGTGAATAATTGTTAATTATGCTGTTGGCGATTACGTTACAATTTTAGCCGTTCATAACACAATGTATGAGAATAATTCGAAAATTGCCCTAAATGCTATGTGTAGAAAACAGTTTAAATAAAATAACTTACCTTATGTTTGCATTGCGGTATTTTGATGTCACTGAGTTGCTGGAGGTGGTTTATAGCCATTTAGGTGAATTTTACTTTCTGGCTGTTTGCTTCCCCTAAAGAGAAACGAAAGGCGGGCGACCCACTGGCCCAACAGCCAGCACACAAAGCTCCACAAATTCCACACAAATGGTCTAATCTCGCCAAAATTGCCTCGTAGCAGCTGTCGATAACTCTTCTTCCCATTTGCTTTCTCCCAAGGTTCCAAAATTTATCTTAACCACGCGAGAATCACTGGTTCTCCAGCTCTTTCTTTCCATTTTTTGCTACATCTCGATCCGTAACTGATTATCTTGGCCTCAGGATTTGAATTTCTAGCTTAGCAGCTGCACTATCATGACAAAGTGGCCTCCAACCGTCGAGAGGCACAGGGCATTTTTTGATCATGCAAATTGCACCATGCAGCAGTGCCTGGGGATATTTCACTGGAAATGATGAAAATTAATGCCCTGTGTTTGTTCAGGTTTATTCGAGGTTCCAATTACAGTGTAAAATCGTTAAAATAAAGTCTTGGAATAGCCAATCCTGCTTCATTAATCTGTGCTTGGCAACTATAGTCTTGTCTCCCACCATACATCGTTTTTTGTATTTCCAATACTTGTTGATTGAAATCAATCAAAATCGATCAAAGTCGATCAAAGTTGATAATCACAAGAAATCGTGTGATCAATTTTTATCGATGTCTGGTACTTGTCGATTGATAAGTATCGAATTTGATCAGTAACGATTGATTTTTATTGACTATTGAAATTATCGACATGTTACATCCTGAATTATGTTGTTCCATTGTAAGCTTACATTGATATGTACATCTGTTTAGAGGTTTGGGCTGGAGGGGGGGAGGTTAGGGGCTTGGTAGGGAAGTAGGCGAAAGGGGACACACTTATATAAATCAGAATGGCTATATTGGGGAATTCCAGAAAATATCCATACCCAACCATGGATGTCTTCCATATTTTAATCCCACCTGCCTCCCTTACCTTTGGAAATTCCAAAATGCTCTTCTCCCCATGCCTTTTGAGTTCCCCAATCCCTAGCCCCCTCTGTTCTGGATTTCTGTTTTTTTTTTTTGTTTTTTTTTTTACTTAGAGGCTGTTGTTTAACTTTCAAATAGCGCTCCAGGGCTTTTGATATTAAAACAGGT